GTGCGTACGAACGGTTCTTGCATGAGGCCCATTGGCTCTAAATCCATATTGACTGTTACTTAAAATATTATTTCACAAATAACCTCCAAAATTTTTGAGAACTGTGGCGACAACGATATGGGTCTGTAATTATTGAATATATATTTCTCAGCATTTTTGTAAATAGGAATTATTTTGGCTATTTTCATATTGTTTGGAAAAATTCCTGTTGAAAATGATAAATTACGTATATATGTAAATGGCTTAATAACATAACACATTATTTCCTTAAACATCATGTCCGTGTGTGTGTGTGTGTGTGTGTGTGTGTTTTCCAGGAAAAGGACTATGAGATTCGCACTTATCACGCCACTAAATGGGTGAGCACCTCTCTGAACGGGATGCAGTGTGACGAAGCCATGAAGACCGGCTTCCGCAGACTCTTCAACTACATCCAGGGCAACAATCAGAAAAGTGAGCTTCAACGGAACCTGAAACATTAAATATAAACAGGAAAGAAAACTAAACTCTGCAACTCCTGTGCAGCCAGAGATTTATGGCTGAAAGACAAAAAGGTCGACGACGTTTTTGCCATTGTGTTTAGCAAAGTAACTTCTGAACCACTGGATGAATTTTAATGAAACTTTCAGAGAACTTTCAGTAAGAACTGCTTTCTACAAGCATTTCTAAAACAAACATAAATAATTATTTGCATTCCTTCATTAATATTTTCATTATGTTGTGATGCTTGATAGAAAGCCTTACAAAAATATGAAACGACTTAATTAAAAGGATCCGGTCGAGCGGAGGAGGTTTAGGATGGAGGTGATGAATAAATGCAGGAGAAAAGTGACTTTATTTGCAGCTCAGCAGTTTGGGACAGTACAGCAAGCTTTTGCCTGACTCAGCAGTTTCCTGCAGCATTATTGATGATAGTTTTTATTTGTGCTGTTGACTGCTGAGCTCTGCAGCAGAAGAGTGCTATTTAAAAATAAATAAATAAAAACATCTGCTCAGGGATCTTTGTGCTTCGAGGCTTGAGTTAAGCAGCTAAAGTGGTGACTTGACTCGTGCTGCTCACCTGTTTTTTTTTCTTTCTTGTATTTCAGAGGCCAAAGTGGAGATGACTGCGCCCGTGACGTGCCGCGTGGTCCCCGGAGCCGGGCCGGCCTGCGAGTCTCAGTTCACCGTTTCCTTCTACATCCCAGACGAGCTGCAGGCCGAGCCGCCGGAGCCGAGCGAGCCCGAGGTGTTCGTGGAGAACAGGAAGGAGTTCACCGCATACGTCAGGTAGAGAAACCACCGAGGCAACGGTTCAAGGCGAGACGTCGGAACGTTTCAAAGTTTTTCAATCCGYTRTGTGCGCGTTTTCCCCCCAGGACGTACGGCGGCTTCGCCAACGATAACACGAGGCGAGACGAGCTGCTGAAGCTGACCGAGAGCCTGAAGAGGGACGGCGTGGAGTTCGTGGACACGCCGTTCTACACCGCGGGGTACGACAGCCCCTTCAAACTGACCAACCGCAGGAACGAGGTGTGGGTGCTCAGGAAGGAATACGAGCCGTAAAAAACGTCACTGGAACTTAGGCTACGTTCACACTGCATGTCCTAAATGCTCAGTTCTAACTAAAAAAKAGATTTTTGCTCAGATTGGATTCGTTTGTGTGGTCGTTCACGTTACAGTTTAATGCGAAGTTGTAGAAAAAAAAAGTGACCCACGTTCGCAGAGGACGTGCCGTCACACTCAATGACTTCTGGAAGTAGAAACAAACCCAAATATTTACTGTAAATTCTGAGTCATCAAGAAAATGAGAAATACGGAAAGTAAAAAAAAAAAAAAAAAAAAGAATCGGAGCAACTTGTGTTCTGTAGCTGAAAATGCAGAGCTCTAAGCTTTAACTGCGTTTGTGTTGATGATTGATCTGTATACACAGGCCTCAATGATCAGACAATATGTGACGTGATAGCTCAGGCCGAGGTCGCTTTGAAAATTTTTTGATATGTATTTAATGTAATACCACATGAAAATTACTAAAAAATGGATTTTTCATTTTAAAAAAATCAATATGGGTCACTGATGCCTGCAGTGTGAACGTAGCCTTAGAAACTTAAATATAAGAACTGATTTTTAAACATGATAAATTTATAAATTCAGCAGTTTATCAACTTATTAAAATTTGAAAGGGAAAAAAAAATGTATATTTGACTTGATAACAAGAAACACTTGGTTTAAAGAGCTGCAGTAGAGCATCTTTTAATTTAAATACACATCATGGAGAAAAATGAGMAAAACGTCCAGCAGGGGGAGCTGATGAGTTAAGCTGATGAGAATTATTTTTACTTTTTGATTTTAAAAAGGGATTTTTTTCTTTGTATTTAAAAACGCTGTCACATTAGACCACTTATTCCAACTTATGAAACATATTTTATGTCTTAASTGCTAATAAAAAAATTATATATTAGATCAATTGTGTTCGAATTACATGAGGAACATGCCTAAAAGAAGCTTCCTGTTGACTTTTTTCAATTCCATCTCCAATGTAGATGTCTTTAAAATGTTTATAAGTTGTCTCATGTGACAGGGCCTTAACTGACGTTCCTTACACAACTAACTGCCTGATGAACACAATTGAAGGAAAGATGCACTTTTCTTTAAAGAGAAAGCTGACTAATTTGTTTTTAGTAGGAATCAGTTGCTCCAACTGTTCATACTCTAAACTGTAAACAAACCAAGAAATGAAAAGTTTAGGACTGTGCCCTGTATTTTTAAATAAATGTTTGAAACAAAGGATCCTATTAAGCTTCATAYGAACCAGAAGAGTCAGTTTAATTTCTTATCTGAGAACCTGACAAACCTGGTTTTCTGCTCGGACCTCTCAAACATGGCAGCTGCTTTTAAATCTGATTTGATTACCGACTGAGTCACTAAATCTGGACCAATCACAACACCGAAGTGTCTTTAATTAAAATTTTACTCTGAAACTTATTATAAATTAAATCATGTAACATTACAGGCTGTGGCTGTGAGCATTTATTTGGTGTCTGTAGATTAGGGTCTAAATCAGAAGCATTAACCTGGTTTTTTTTTTAAAATATATTTAAAGGGAAACTGATGCACAAACAGATCACTGATGTCTGAATGATAATAAATGTAAAATGTCACATGATCAATAATAAATAAAACTCATTAAATGATCAGTTATTCTGTTCGTTTTATGTTCTGTTCGTCCTCCACACTGATGCTTGCAGCCTTTCTTCAGCCAGAACACATCCTCGCCCTTCCTCCTCCTCCTCCTATCAGCTTCGTCCGGTTGATCCGTGCTGACTCGGTCATTTTATTTGTGGCAGGTTTGTTCCCAGCATCGAGTTCCAAAACTCAGCAGAAATTACTTCTTTTTTTTTTTCTAATCCCCTTTTATCGACACACAAACACTTTATCTGCAGCTCGCCCGTCTGTTGGATGTTTGCTCAGCGAGGCGAAGCTCTGCTGTGAAAAACAAGTGTTTTAATTATCAGGTTTTCTGTTGCCTGGACAGTTTATCTGCGTCTTCGCAGCCTGACTGGATATGGAGATCTTGGGGGTGCTTGCTGATAATCTTTAACTGGAACGTTGAATATGAGGCGGCACGCTTCGGTTTAGRTTACATAATGAGATTTTAGGGTGGGACTCGTCAATTTATTCCCTTGAATTAAAGCTGCGTTTGTTGGAAATCAGGGCCCCAATGTGTGTTAGGTGCATTTAATTGGAAAAACTGACAAAAGAACGCAAATTAAGCTGAAGCGGCTCGTCTTTTAACAGGGACTAAAACAYAGGAACACGTCTAGTTCTGGCTTCCTGTTTGCTTTAGGATCGATTTTAAGGTTTTTCTGCTTTTAATGTTTTACCTGAGTGTAGCCTTTTAAATCCGTGCTTAAGATGCGTCGTTAATCCTTTGCTTTTGATTCTGGTCTTTTAAGAGCTAAAGCTTTTATGTTTTGTTTCTGTATTTTATATTAATTTATCTTATTTTGGAACATTTCTGTTTCTTTGTCGTTTTATKTGTTTCTTATCTGTGAAGCACTTCAGTCAACTTGTTTTTATGTGCTATAGAAATAAACTGAAGCTCACTACTGATGTAAAAAGTGGATTTTCACATCCTTGTTTCAGTGATGCGAGGCGCAGCAGCAGATTAAAAAATTGGGCTTTATTGAATGCATCAAAAAAAGTTGGACCAATAATTCAGAATTGGAGTTGGAAAACACCAAATGACAGGTCTGGAAATGATTTCTAGGAATTAAAAGACCAAATAAATATGATAGGAGCACATTTGTTTGTGATACTGAAATATTAAACACTAGTTGTAAAATCAAAAAGAAAAATAAGTAGGTCCTCTGGGTGGGTTGTTCTTTAGTGAAACGTTTCGTCTCTCCTCYAAGAGACTTCTTCAGTCTGATGAGTTTCAGGTGAACTCAGCCTTATAAGCACTGCCTCCACCTGGACAAACAGGTTAGTCATATGCAAACGAGGGCCATCACCTAACAATAGGCTTGATTAGCTCTAGTTCATAGAGGGTCATGTGCCCCATCACCTCACTTATTGGTTTGGATGCTTTGGCTGTGGTTATTTGGTGTTTTGTTATGTGTATGTAGTGAATGCAGGCGGGGCTCGACGTCCCCTTGTTTATGTGTCTCTCTGTTTGTGTTGGTATCATTGGGGCCCTGATTCACACCTTTTGCTCACAGGGGGCGGAGTCATACTTGCAATRACAGCGTTGTAGGAGGAGGACAACTGGACACGAAGGCCTCCACCTGTTTAATGATGGACGGTTTTTCTTCACAAAGATGGTTTCCTTTACTCCCCTCTCAAAGCAGCGTTCCTTCACACATGGGGGGCAATACTAAAGCAGAAACATGGGTGGGCTATGGGCTCATCAGGACATAGTTGTAAATTAGATTAACAGATGAACTTTCAACATATTTTCATTCCAAACCACAATAATTGGGATTATGAGGCCGTTTGTTAGTCTGCTGATTCAGAGGWTGTTAATAAACCTGATTTATTTCCTGAGTTTGGCTCAATAGATCTGATGTCCTGTTCTGTTGTGCCTTTTGTACAGATGTTCTGTACAGATGTAGCTGAAAACAGGGCAGGAAGAAACCAAGGAGTCAATAATCTGATTAGGGCTGGGGGGAGTGGGTATCGACTCGGACCTGACAGCCAGAGGGAGGCTGTTTGTGGAGCCGCAGAGGACAGGTGAATAAAAATAGTTAAATAGACCYGTGTTTTTCCTGACGCCACAGTGAGGAGCCGGAGCGGGCCGAGTTCTGCTGGACACGGGTCTATAACTCACCCGGAGTCCTGATGGGACGTCAAGAAAGAGACGTGACGGATGACCTCTTCGCTGCAGAGAAGGGGAGGGGTTAAAGCATGGATGCTGTGGCCACGGTGCTAATTAGGCGGTGATTTGTGTGTCGAGGCAAGACAGATGGACGTGAATCATAATAGAAAAAAAAATCAAATAATGACAGACACGCTCTTTAAATATCTCTGATTTTTGTTGTTTTTATTAGACATACAGAAGAGCGTCAGCAGCCCGCCTCCACTCCCACTTCTTCTTTATCTGTCCATCAATCTGTTCCCAAACCGGAGCCGGGTGCTCAATCACAACCAGTCAGGAGCCGGGGGGCTTGTAGTTTTTGGTCACAAACGATTAAACCGGTGTTACGACCGCTATGTCTCACGCCTGTCAGCCCCCGTTTATAAACCTAAAAGGACCCTCGTTTACTCAGCTGTGAGCACCAGAGGGAGATGAAGCTGTAAATATCGACTTTATTGCATCTTTGAAGCAAAAAAATAATCTGATGGTAAATGTGGCTTTTTTTAATTCTCTGCACGTCTCATTTGGTTCTGTGTCCTCCATGAACTTCCTGATTCACTAAACTGATGCCCTGCTATGAGAAAATAAATAATCTATATAAAAAAAGGAAACCACTACCCTTAACAAACAAGGCTCTAAAAAATGTACAAATTCTAAAAGTAAAATCACTTCAGACTTCTCTATTTACAACAGATCTATATAGAAAAGGAAAAGAAATGTTATAAAACCATTACAGAAATCACTTAAGCACCATAAAGTTCTAACAGATCCTCTCAGCAGACGTGAAGCATCACGTGGTGTCAGAACGGTTTATTTTCTTTAAACTCTTTGGTTACCCACAGGAAAACTAAAAGACCTGAACAATAAAATAAGATTCTTTCTTTTGTACATTTACAGGTTCAAACTCGTAAAACTCATTAAAACAAACATTTCTATGCACAGTGCAAAAGCTACAAAAAAAAAAAAGAAAAATTCAGATTTGATCGTTCTTTTCATACAATAATTTTGCTGCTTTAGTTTTGTAAAGTCGTCCCTGATCCTGTCACTAGGTGGCAGCACTGAGCCTCCTGTCAAATCGAAACGACTAAAAAGAAGTGAAAACGAGCAGAAAGCCGTTGGAAATGCCGCTGAAGTTCGTACCGAGGAGCTTTCTGTCTGTCGTACCACATCCTCCAGAACTTTCCAGGTTTCTGAGACGCTCGTGCTGCTTTCGATCACTTTTCGAGGCCAACACCTGGAACTTTGAGTTTGTGTTCTGAGTTCAGTCCTTGGAAGAAACTGGAGGGAAAATCCAGTGAAAAGCAGAACAAACAAAAGACACGGGACTCTAAAGAGCTGACTTTGAACAGAAAGGATCAGTTAACAGGAGCAGAACCAGTTCTCCACCTCAGGCTGTTCTGCGGTCTACTGAGGCGACCTCTGGGCATCACGACGCCGCTCCTTCAGCAGCAGCGTCGAGAAGAGGGGCGGGGCTCGAGAAGGCGTCTCTGCTGGCTCATTCCAGCCCCCCTGCCTGCTTACGCCATGCGTGACCTCAGCTCATCATGTGCCGGTGGAGTCTTTGAGCGCCGGGAGGGTCGGGACCGCGGGTCCGGACGGACTCTCCGCCATGTCGCCGTACTCGCTCTCGGCCAGCTCCCCCTCCCGCTCGCAGATCACCGTCATGGGGCTGCTGAGGATCCGGCTCCGGGTGTTGTACTTGCTGCTGGCGGCGGACGGCGGGATGCGAGGGCGTCCGTACCTCGAGTAGGGCGAGGACGTCGGCGAGGACGGCGTGAAGGCGTCGCAGCGGTTCCACTCCGCGTCCGTCGCCCTCCTGCCTCGGCCGGGGGAGGCGGAGGGGCTGGAGGGCGAGGCGGGGGGGTCTAGCGCGCTCTCCGAGCGGGTCCGTTGGAAGCGGGGGTCGGTGGAGCGGAGCATCTCGGCGGCGGACATCCTGAAGCTGGTCTCGGAGCGGCTGCCCTTTCTCAGGAGCARGGCCTTGAAGGTGTCGCTGCTGGTGGAGGACTTGCGGAGGTTTCGCTGGATGGAGCCGGTCTGTCGGGGCAGGGGGGACCCCGTCCCAGGAGACGAGCTGGTGGGGGTGGAAGGTGGGGACTGTGATTGGCTCCCAGCCCGGGACTTGTCTTCTTCAGACTCTCTGCGACCCAGGACCTTCCGCTTTGACCTGTGGACGAAAAGACGCCCGGTAAGTTTTAGACTGAAACACTTTTCTGTTGAGAATCACCGATGTTACAGAAGTTATATTAAATAATGCATCACAACAGAGGAGGTGGGAAATAAAATAGGTACCGTGGGGGGAAAGTATTTAGTCAGTTGTTCAAGTTCTGCCACTTAAAAAGATGAGAGAGGCCTGTAACGGACCAGGGTTCCTACAGTTTAAAGCAAGTTAAATTTAAGACTTTTTAATGCCAAGTGAAATTAAATTTAAGACTTTTTAATGCCAAGTGAAATTAAATTTAAGACCAATTTCATAATAAACAAATGGGAAAAAAAATACAATAAAAACTGTGGCAGATCAGAGGTGCCCAAAGTGTGGCCCGTGGGCCAAAATTGGCCCACCGAGCCATTTGATTTGGCCCACCAGCATTTGTCCTGGTTATTAGATTGTAATTATGTTAAAATTAAATATAAAATACAAGTAACTACAAGAGACATTTAGATTAGATTTAAGCCCATATAGATTTACACACCTTATAAGACTACGTATACTCAAATTTTAAATTATGAAAAGTCCCATGAGCCTTTGCTGCCTGAGCATACGTTGAGTTTTCTCCATGTCCAGGGGCTGAATAAAAAACAAACTAAAGAATGTGGGCAACCACACTGGCTGCTAGCTTAATCATTAAAAACAAAACAACTTTACTTAAGTATTTGCATTTCTTATATTATTGAATTTGGCCCGCGGCCCTCAGACTGATTTTAATTTTGGCCCTCTCAGGGAAAATGTTTGGGCACCCCTGCTGTAGATGAAACCTTAAGGTGCCTGTGACATCAATTTTTCTAAGAAAAGTGAATGCATTTTTGGAAAGACACCATTATTAACATATTACAAAACAAATTTCACGTTGCTCAGATGGACAGCTGTTGAGATATTTGCATGTGAAATAACAGGAAGTGATGTCAAAGGGGAATGTCTGCATGTGAATGTTTTAAAAAATAATTTTTACCAATTATTTTAATATTTGAGATGAATTAGAATCATCCTATGTACAATGTGTTAACATTTTTAAGATTTCTGAAAGATTGATTTAAGACATTTTAAGGCTAATTAAGGCCTTATTTTTGGATTGATCAATTCAATGCCTTTTAAGACTTTTTGTCTGCAGGAACCCTGTGGACATCACCTCAACTACGAGAGACAAAATGAGTAAACGTATCTCATATCTAGAAAATCACATTGTTTGACTTTTTTAAAAGAATTTACTTGCAAATTATGATTGAAAATAAGCATTGATTACCCCCCTCCCCACTCTACAATATGTCATTTCTGGTAAAAGAAACCCTGTGAGTTGAAACAACAGAACCTGCAGCTCTGCCGATCATCTCAGACGCTGCACGAGAAAATGAAACCAAACACAAAAATGGGAGAGTGCTCGGGGCGAAGTGTTAATCYCACGTCTGCGAAACGCTGTCAGGATGTGGGCCCCTGGAGCCAGCAGGTAATCAGCCTTATTAATCTGTAATAYGAAGGGTCAAACTGAGGGATTACGCTCAGATCGCTGCTGCAGATCCCTTTTTTTTTAATGTTGGAGCAGAGAAATGTGGAAACTGCAGATTGTGCGATAAGRTAAGCCAGAGAAAACTGAGGCTAAAGGGAAAGATATGAGTGAGACAGAATCCGGATCCTCTCTGCTAAATAAGTCTGTGGCCTAAATTCGGCCTGGTGGCGCGGGCGTCCCTCTGCGTTAGCTTTAACGCACCTGAACTCAGCGGTGGCTCCACGCTGAGGAGGCAGCGACAGAAGCAAACAGCAGCAGCCTCGGTTCTGGAGGTTAACAAGGCTGAAATACGAGCCACAGCTCAGAGCACTCAATTGATTTCCTCCTCTTGGCGTTATTACGCTCAGTTTGKAGGATCTCCCACGATATAAGTTGTTTTCTGCTGCAGCTGTGAAGGACTTTCATCAATTTTACCCTCCCACAAATTAAAAAAAAACCACGTAGGCAAATTAATTTTATGACGGGAAACAAACCGGTTATACTTTCCAATGATTTGTCATTTCACGCTCAAATCTCGTCTCGAACCTGTGAAACGATATATGCTAAATAATCCCGGGGTGTTGCGGAGGAGCCGTAACACCGTGGCTGTGCAAGTGACGGCGACGCRGTGAAACCTGCTCCAAATATGAGATAAGATCCCGTGAAATCAAAAGCCTCACGAGAAACTCCCAACTGCTCCTGCCGCCGCACGTGACTGAGACACAAACTGCGTGAGAAATTTATGATGCTGGAGCACGTATGCTATGTGTGTCAGAGAGCAACGAGAGGCGGAAACGTCTCCAGCAGCTTCTAACCCAGATTAGGGCCAGAGGGTGTTGRGTGGTTAAATAATAAATGAAGCACTAGCCTTTTTTTCTTTTCTTTTTCTTTTTTTTTTTTGGTGTTTGTTTTCTGCTGGGGATGAGGAATGTGACAACATGAAAACAGATTTGATCATGACTCATTTTGGCTTTTGAGATGTCGCTGTTTATAAAAAGCCGCTCTATTACTGGCTGGGAGAGTTCAGCTTTTGGTGCGGGACAGGAGGAGGTGAGGGGTGCAGGAGTGATCAGGAGGGTGACAGGAGAAGAAACGTGGAGTTAAGAGGGACTGGATTTATGGGGTGAAGGATGCGTTAAAGAAAAACAAGAGAAAAGATTCGAAGCAGAATATTGTTACCTGTGTATGGCGGCAAAAAGGTCCTCGGTGGTTCGGGGCCGATTCGGACTCGGGGTCACCATGATGTCCTCGGACGGAACCGGAGACGAATCAGCCGTTCTGGGTTCAAAAACTTCACCTGAAAGACAAACCGGTTACTTCGTCATAGAGTGGGAAACACACACTTTAGGCGATGTGTCCGCCGCGTCGCATCAACTGCCTGACAGATCTGRGGGGGAATGGAGCCTCACATTTTCCTTCTCCTCTGCGCTCACGTCTGAGCTTCAGCTGCCCGAGACGCTGAATGCAGTCACACTTTACCCATCCTCCACTTCATCCCTCCCTCCTACTCCGACATGATGGGAGTCCCTCCCCCCCCAACTCCCACCAACCACAAAAAAGCATCTCCCCTAGGACACTTGCCCCCTTCCTTACCTCACAGAGAGGATGAGATGAAAAGGGAGTAGGGCAGGAAAAAAAAGAAAGCAGTGGAGTTGAAAAGACGGAGCGTGAGAGATTAAACTAAAAAAGAAAAAAGCAGAGAAGCAAAAAACTAGAGTGGAGGAGAGGAGAAGGAGCAGAGCAGGACAGAATGAAGGGACAGCAGCCATGACAGCACTCTAACATCCATATGAGTTCATGAGGCTGCAGCACGGCTCTAAGCTGCTCCTTCCACTCAGTTTTCACAGTTCTTAAAGCTTTAAACGCTCCTGGAATCAAGTTCAGCCTCTCAGCTTTGGAGGGAAAAACAAATTTCACAGCTGTTTATGGAGCTGGCAGCATAAACGCCAGGCAGCGGCACGACTTCGAACCGTACGARATTATGCCTGAAGTCTTCAAAAATAAGAAATTGGAGATTTAAAATGTTTAGAAAAGTTTAAAAAAATATGTACTTTGAATAAAAGCTGTTTTATTCAAAATAAAACTAAAAATGCAGTGTGAATACRGAGTTATGGAATTAGTTTGCTAAAATTTGTAGGAGAAGCTGAAACTGACTCCTTGGGCTAAAATAAGCAAAACACTAGCAGCAAGCTAAGGTAGCAAAATACTATAAAAAAGCCAAAACAAGCTAAATGTAGCAAAATTTTAGCTAAAAGATAAATACGGAATTGAGTAGGTAAAAGTAACAAAACATTGACCACAAGCTAGAAGTAACAAAAAGCTAACTAAAAGAAGAAAAAAAGCTAAAAATAGCAAATGACTGTCTAAAGGTAGCAAAAATATATTAAAAAGGGTAAAAATAGCTAAAAATAGCAAATGACTGTCTAAAAGTAGCAAAAATATATTAAAAAGGGTAAAAATAGCTAAAAATAGCAAATGACTGTCTAAAAGTAGTAAAAATATATTAAAAAGGGTAAAAGAAATGAGCTAAAAATAGCAAATGACTGTCTAAAAGTAGCAAAAATATATTAAAAAGGGTAAAAA